TAAGGCAGACTTGAATTTGGTTTCTGAATTTATCTTAAAACCAACGTGGGATTTCTTTTTTTTTTGTCACATTAGCTCTTTTCTGGTGTATTTTTACAACGTTTAGTGAGCTAAAAACCAGGGTTTTTACTCTGGCTTCCATTTCTGATGCTGAAGCATTTCCAGATTCCCAGGGCAGGGGTGGAGCACTGGCTGTTGGCATTGTGTTCGCAGTTAATGTGTTCCTCCTCCTGTTAGTAGTTGTGAAATCTTCATGTGAGTATGTTTTCCACTGATATAAAGCTAAGTGGAGTTCCCTTCTATTAGTGTTTCCGCAAGTTAGTTGAAAGTAGCAGGAAGATGAGCTAAAATGGCTCCCCTTGCTCCAGGAATAAGTGACCTCTTTCTCCCTTGCTGTCTATGCCTGGACATTCCTCAGTCAAGCACAAAAGCCATCATTTGGCCATGCTGCTGGAGAGAGCTGTGGGAATTGCAGCGCAGAGGAAAAGAAGGGAAAACGGAAGGCTCGTACCTGGAAGGCAGAGGTGGAGGGATGCTGATGTGTTTTAGGCACCCAGTTTAGTTTCAGGTTGTATGAGATAGATGGTGTGAATTTGCTCTGCTGGGCCATCAGCTCAGCAAAGAGACAGAAGCAGCAGAGCAAAAGAAATAGAGGGACTGGGCTGCATGAGTGGGAGAGGGGGAAGAGTAGGGATGGGATGTGAAGGGATGGGAGGAAGGCCTGAGAGATGTCTGTTCATCTGACTCTGTCCACATGTGCCTAACAGAAAGCTGTGAAAATCTGGCATCTAAAAGGTGGTAAAGTGGCTCCTTGGTCTATTCCCAAAAGCCTGAAGTACTCTATGTTACTTGTTGCATTTAACAGCCCTGGCAATAACAAAAAGAACTGGGGCTGGGCTTAGTTTGCTGTCATTGTTTTACTGAGAGGGTTCTTGCCTCGCACGAGCATCTGCTTTTAATATATGACATAATTGCTAAGTTATTACAGCAGCTCCTTAAAATAAAGGCTTAGATATGGTATCTTCAAAGAGAAAATGAGACAAAGTGTTTCCGTGTGTCCCAAATGGCACGTAGTGTTCAGAGAGTTATTTCTGTATCTGACCAAGTTATCGAATACTGTTATGCACACATGGAATTTATCAATACACAGTTAATTCCAAGTGCTACTTAAAAGAGGCACCCTTGGTATATGCCATCATAGGGGATTCAAACCCTCCAGTGCTGAGGTTTCATTTGCATCCTCTTTTATTTGCATTCTTTAAATGTCTCTTGCTGGGGACTTTTAGGATTACCACCTCTCTCATATGCAGTGCTGATAATTCTCCTTTAACAGAAAGCTATTAGGCACAAGTGACTTTGAGCAATATTAAGAAGTACCCCAAATTTTGCTTTCTAGTAGTAGCCTTGTAATTATTTCTTTGTTGCGCTTCATTGCCTGAAGAGGGAGCGGACTTTTATATGTTGGTTTCCATGATGTCCACTCCAGCAGGAAAATGCTTGGAGTCTTGGAGCAACTCCCTGAAGTGACTGTCTTGGAAAGACTTGAAATGTTAATCTAACAGTTTGAGGTTTCACCTACTTATGTTACAGCATGAATATTTTGTGTAAATGCAGACTGTTGAGTAATTATTCAGAAGATAAATTACTGAGATACATTTGTGGTGCTTGTGCTGCTATTAGAAGGTTAGGAAGATCACAGAATGGTTTGAGTTGGAAGGGACCTTAAAACTCATCCAGTTCCAACCCTCCTGCCATGGGCAGGGACACTTTCCACTAGACCAGGTTGCTCCAAGCCCTGTCCAACTTGGCTTTGAACACTGCCAGGGATGGGGCAGCCACAATTTTCCTGGGCAACCTGTGCCAGTGTCTCACCCCCTTATAGTAAAGAATTTCTTCCTAATAATACCTAATGTAAATCTCCCCTCTGTCTGTCACTACATGCCCTCATATAAATGTCCCTCTCCAGCTTTCTTGTAGACCCCCTTCAGACACTGGAAGCTGCTGTAAGGTCAGCTGAACAAGCCCAACTCTCAGCCTGTCTCCATTGCAGAGGTGCTCCAGCCCCCTGAGCCTCCTCTCAACTCACTCCAACAGGTCCACTTCCCTCTTGTGTTGGGGCCCCCGAGCTGACTGCAGTACTGCTGGTGGGGGTCTCCTACTTTGCTGGTGCATAAAACGGTGAACACATTTTGGCCTCAGTTGGATTTTGAGTGACGCAGCATTTGTATTTGTGCCTTGCTAAAGGCATGAATACATCTAAGAAATAGTTTTCTGCTGTAGCTGTCACTGGCCAAGCTTCAGCCAACAGCTGGGTCCATGCCATACCCTCAGTTTGGGTAGAGCTATGTACCCCAACAGGGTAGGGAGCTTCTTTATGTTATAAACAGCCCTTTTTTTTGTCTTCTTATTGCACACACTTAAGACACATCGTGACAACAGCTTAGGAGCAGCAGCAGCAAAGTGCTTTAGTCACTGTTACACCCATGGCAAGGGCGGGCTCACACCGCACGCAGTGATGTCTGGGAAAATTGGTCTGCACCTCTGAATGGGACCAAAAACCTGGGCTGGGGAGGAAACTGCTGCTAGAACGTTGTTTGCAATGAGCTGCCATTGATGTGCCTTCTGGGGTGAGCGCTGAGCCACACACTACTGTGGTTTGTTAGCAGAACCCAGCCCGTTTCAGGCAGCTGTCTCCTGCAGTCAGCTGCCCTCCCCGGTGCTGTACAGGCTGGGCCAGATGAGGCACCCACAGATTAGATTAGATGAGCAGCCTGAAGGATGCTCCTTTGCCCTGCAGACTTAGATCCTCAATAGCTTTCTTCCATACAAAAGCAAACCAGGTGCTGCTGTTCCTGATAAATGGATCCTCTGGCCCAGTGCACTGCAATAAAATATTCCAGGAAATGACCCTGGCAATGTGCCTGGAAGATTTCTTAAACCAGTGTAGCTGACTTCTTCCCTCCCTTCCTCCACAGCCATGCTTGGAGGCTGCAATTCAGTAAGCTCAGTGCAGCTGGCACCAATTTGGAAGCTATTGTGCATGGGAGCAAACTGCCCTCCCTCCCCAGAGCGTCTGGCCTTGGACAGCATCACAAGCTGAACTGGCACTGAGCTGCTAGAGAGCCTTCCATTAAGTTTTTACATAGGGAGGGTCAGAGGTGATGTTGCAGGCCATTATCACGCCGATTTCACAAATCAATAGGTAAACAGATCAATATTCAGTTGCTTAAGTACAATTTTTTCACCCTTTTAAAAGGTGTGTGACTGATTATGTCAGAGCAACAGCCCTTGTTTTCAAAGAGGAGAAATTGGTCTGTGTGTTTTCAACTAGGTACATGTCTTAAACTGTACCACAGCCAATGGGCATCCTTCCTTCCACCAAACCAATTTGAAAAGGGATTATAACAGTAACCATTGTCCACATTATCAATATGTAACTGGGCCCTACATAAAATATAGTTTCCCTGTACTGTTATTCATCTTTAAATGTAGATACAGGTTTCCTTCTTAATTTATGAATGCAATAAAATTCACTTGAATAAGGGAAAAACTTACTTTCTTCTACATAGTACAAATCAAAGCTGAAAAAAAGTCTAGTGTGCACCATTTGGGGAATGCAGTGACTTTAAAGCAAGTTGTCTCATCACTGTAGATACGACTGAAGCAGGAAGTGTACGTGACTTAACTAGAACATTAATCACATTCAAAGCTCTGCAAAATGAAGAATTTCATAGCTATAAATAAGGCTGCTGCCAGCTCTTATCATAACAGCCAGGTGCTTGGGAAAATACGAGCCCTTGGCTCTCCCCTGTGGTGCTTTACATTGAGGAATCTCCTGTGCGTGCACAGTTGCCCATATGCTTCCTCTCCTGCCAAAGGCATGAGAGCCATCACCTATGTATGCTTAGAACATGTTAATGAGCATCATCTTGGAACGCTGCATCTATAATCTGGCAGGATTCACAGCGTACCAGGGCACAGTTCAAGGAAGGTGGCTATTTAAAGTGCAGCCCACATAATCAAACTGATTTTTAGCTACAGGCAGACGAGCATGGGTCAGTAGGTATTTAGGATGTATCACCTCACACCAAGACTCCCTCTCTGCGCTGACCCTCCAGCCACATATTTTAGAGCTCAGTAGAGATCAGAACAGAGGAATAAATAAAACGGTGAAGCTGTGTATGTATGAGGTGAGGGTAGAGCCTAGTGAAAACAGATGTAGAAGGCCATCTAAAATAGCTTTTCTCATCACTGCATTCTGAGATAATTTCTATGCCTTTAAAGGCACCACAAGCACTCCATGGAGATCAGAAGGATCAGGTCACATAGAAATTAATGAAAAAAGTACTAAAATGTGCTTGTGTCATGGAAAAACACCTGAAAAAAAAGTCACTGTGCTTGGGAAAATGTGTTTGAACATCACTGCTGTTTCAAGCAGCCTTTCTCCAAGTTCTGGCATAGGTTGCCACAGCTGTCTGGAGCTCAAGCTCAGTTTAGGGTTCTCTTAGCTCAAACAAAATATTCTGCAAGTACTTCCTCAGACTATTATTTGTTTTGCCAGCACTACAGCACCCTGCAATCTTTATCAGGTGAATGGCTTCAGAGAGAGATCAATAGTTGTGCTATTACTTCTACATATGTGCTTTCAGGAAGTGAATGAGTTGGCTGCAGTTTTGTCCCTGAACCTCACAGGGCGAGAAGGAGAAGACAAAATTAAGTCAAAGCAGCATCAGCTCCTTTGCTCCCAGTCATGTGTAAGCCACAAACTCAAAACACTTCAGACTCACAGGAGATAGCACTCTGAAACATGCAGCTTGTTTCAAGCAAGTACAACGGGTGACCTCAGCCCCCTTTTCTGCACATCCAACCACCAAATCTCTCCTGGCTTCTCCTTAGCTGAGATCACAGCTTTTTTCCATTGCAAATCTGGGAGCATTGAGAACAGGGTATGATGGCCTGAAATAAACGGAATAGAATCATAGAATACAAACAGAAGGGGCTCATGTAGGGATGGTGTTATTCATTTTTACATTTAATGAATAAAAACTTCATTTGTTCAGTCATAGCTGCAGAAGAGTGACAGACTGCCACAAAACCCAAACATCTGTCCAGATTGCCACGGAATACACTGCATCACCTCCAGAGGCTCTGCCAGCATGATGCTGATTTGTAAGAGACACTGTTCAAATCTGCACATACATAAAACTGGCGTTTAGTAGAGAATTGGCTATTCCAGGCTTCCAGGACACCTTAGTTTAAGCTGTGTTTCCAATACAAAACTGTTACTTTAGAAAAGGAGAAAAAAAAAAAAAAAAAAGACATATCCAGCAAGAAATTAAATGGCAACAGATTCAAGGTGTGGTTGCTTAAATTAATGACAGATATGTGGATAGATATTATATTACATTTCAGTTCACTGCAAACAGTAAAAATATCAAAGGTCCCAAAATTCATTCTTAGTAAGATATATTACTAAAACCACTACCCTTATCCTACCAGGCTAAGACATTGCATCTAACAAAATTACCCTCCCGTGTATTAAAGAAACAGCAACGTTACCAAGAACAGCTCACTAAATATACAGAACTACACTACCTAGGTAGAGTTTATTGCAAAACCAGAAACCAGAAGTCTGTCTTCCATTTCGGATTTGTATCACTTGCTCAGGTTTCAGTCGCTCACACACACGCACGCAGCCTGTACACGGAAAGTCGCTAACACACTGGAGTTCCCACAGGCTCGCAAGAACCCTTAAAACATCTCAGTAAAAAGTTAAAATGAGATCTTTTACCACAAGGACTATAAAATCCCTCCCTCCCCCACTACCCCCTGAATTTCTAAAGTTCTGGATTCTAAAAACTATACATAAAAAAAGGAAAAGTTATTTCAGTAGCACAAAGACTACCTTAAATATATCAAATAAGTCTAAAGAGAGTTGATGCAACTGAAGAGAAAAGTAATAAATGAAGACCTGCATCACACATAGTGTTTTCATCAACACTGTTGATAAGCTCTAAGTCTCTAAATGTAGTAGAGCATTGGTTGGTTTTGATTTACTTTTAATTCTGAAGTTACATTAAAAAACAAAAACAAAACAAAAAGCAGTTGTGGCAATTCTGCACTCCTAGGCTCATGAGGAAAACGTCCCTTTCAAAATCTCAATAAATATGCCGACATGTAAAGTTAGTTGAGGTTGTCATGCAAGACAAGGTACATAACCAAGACTAACTCAATCTTTATAATAAAGGCAACTTGCATTCAAAAATGAACTTTACCCTTACAATTTTATTCAAAGGGTAAACATGAATTAACCCAGCTGTTTACCTGAATTACAAAAGTAACATGATTCAATATGAAAATAAGAAACTGTCTACAAATCTCTGACAGTAATAAATTGCAATATACAATGCATACAGGAGTTATACAGAGCAACAAACTCTTGTACAAAACAAAAATACTTTAATACCTTTAAAATCCAATTTTCTTTTTTTTTAAATCATCATGAAAAAGATTTGAGTCAGAACTCGCACCTCAATTAGTCAAGCTTCCGGTAGCTACATTACAGCTATTTAATATACAAAGAGATACATCTCTTCCAGTCATTAAACCTGCCTCTTCGTTAAGAGTTGCACAGCTTTTCTGTCTCATGTTCCCAGATACAAAGTTTTCTTCAGATCATGAGAACTGGATTTGTTGAACACCAGAGATCTAGAGAAAGAAAACGCAGGCTTACATTATTTTCTGAAACTGCATTGCTTGAGTTGTCACGGTGTTGGAATGTCATGACAGCCACCACGAAGGGACTAAATTAAATTAATTCGCATCTTTCAGAGGAGGGCAGCTGAATTAGCATTGGAATTTCAGCAGCAGAAGGGAGAGTAGAGGATGGGATACAGTACCTGTTGATATGATGTTGTGTAGACCATAACATTTTGCTGTTGGCCATCTGTAGTTATTAAGCCTGCTGGCAACTGGTTAGCTGAAAGAAAAAGCATTTTAAGAAAGTTAGATGGGAGCTTCAGGATATACAGTGACACAACAAGGGGGAAAGGCTTTAAACTGAAAGAAAGTAGGTTTAGGGTAGATATTAGGAAGAAGTTCTTCACTGTGAGGGTGGTAAAGCACTGGTACAGGCTGCCCAGAGAAGGTGTGGCTGCCCCGTCTGTGGCAGTGTTCAAGGCCAGGCTGGATGGGGCTTGGAGCAACCTGCTCTAGTGGAAGGATGTCCCTGCCCGTGGCAGGGGGTTGGACCTGGATGAGCTTTAAGGTGCCTTTCAACTCAAACCATTCTATGATTCTACAATGATTCACATAAGTGAATATGGATAAGACTTTTCTATTTGCATTGCCTCATCTTTTATCAGATGTTTGAAAAACTAAATCTTGTCAGTAGATACAATGTCCTGGGTTCAGCAGTAGCAGTCATTTTTCTCCTTCTCGGTAGCTGGTGCAGTGCTGTGTTTTGACTTTCGGCCTGGGAACAGAGCTGATAACAATGATGTTTTGGTTTGGCCAAGGACTTTGTGGGCCTCATGCTCTGCCAGGGAGGAGGGGAAGCCAGGAGGAAGCAGAGATAGGACACCTGACCCAAACTGACCAAAGAGGTATTCCATACCACAGCACGTCATGCCCAGGATGTAACTGGGAGTTACCTGGAAGGGCTGGGAGTCTGCGGGGTTGGAGGAGGCATCGGTCAGTGCTTGGTTGGGCTGGGGGGGGGCGAGTTATTGGTCAGCTGATGGTAAGGTGTTGTATTCTCTTGTTATTTCCTTTATCATTATTATTATTGATGGTAGCAACAGTGATTTGTGTTATACCTTAGTTACTAAACTGTTCTTATCTCAACCCGTGGGAGTTGCATTCTTCTTGATTCTCCTCTCTGTCCCTCCAGAAGTAGGGGGAGGAAAAGAAGGGGGGGAGTGAGTGAACGAGCCCTCTGGCTGGGCTTAAACCACGACATATGACTAGAGCTGCACATCCTAATTCTTGTATTGATTGGCTTCAAGATTTACCAGCTCATAGCATTTAAAACCCAAGGCAAAGACTACATCCAAGAATCCAGCATCAACAAAACCAACACAAAGTCCCATCATCTATCAGGCTTTCATTCACAGTATAAGAATTAAAACTACAGTGAGTGCATATGATGCTACTTGCCCTACACCTTTTATTTACCAGTCTGTGCAGTCTTTTGAATATAAGAAATACCGAGTGTTTTAGAATTATACAAAAATTACATTCTTCTCTGGCTCATTTATCAAAGACAAGCTCAAGTCATGGAGTTTTTTTACTCCCCTCCCCCAGCAGTCTTGCAAGTAGAACAAATGTGGCTTAAATATGTAGCTACTAGAGGTGGGGAGTTGGGGGAGTTTGCACCTTTCACTATAACCTGTATTTAAGTGTAGAGAAAAATACTAGCACTAACATATGCACTTATCTTCCACAGTTGACATTAGCTTTTGCTAGAGTGGCATCACTTATCACTATAGCTCCTCATTCTGACCACAAATTCTATTGATTTGGAGGGGTTTATGTTAGCACATGTTAGCTTTCAGACATCTCAAATGAAAATCTCAGCAGATCAAAGGTGTAACGTGTGGGATGTCCAGGATGGATTTCTCAGGTAAGAATTCTGATGTCTAAAGGGACTGTTGTTTTTATAAAAGATGTAGTAGTAATATAATAAAAAGTATTACTTACTAAATGCTTCCTCCGTGAGCTCCTCACTTAGACCGTCCCCAGCTGTAACTGTTCCAATTCCCTTTTCTCCTTTCATTGCCTGGAGGGGGGGGGGGGGGGGGGGGGGGAGGATAGTAAAAGAGAGTTTGTGTTAGAGTACAGTTGGATTGAGATTGTTTTCAAACCCCAAGAGATCTAGCCAAGGTTTTGAACTTGCAGAGGAGTCACTGTGCAGTAGCTGGAGTTTGAAATCCAAGACCTGTGAAACGCTATGAGATTTAAGAACAGGCATAAAACAAGGATGTATGAAGGGTGTTTTTCATCTTAGCCATAATCCTAAGAAACAGGAACTCTGCAAACTAGGATTGTGTAGATTCTAAGAAAGGCTTTCACCTTCTAAGGAAGGTCAAATATCTGCAGTAGTCCAGAAGGAGCCGTTAGGAACATTGACAAATCACAGAATCTCAGTACTAATGAGAACGTGCAACACTTGCTTACCAGCCACGTGCAAGAGCCATCATCATACAACTAACAGTTGGCATTTAAAACCAAGATACTGGATTTCTTTTCCCACATCAAGGACTACAGCCAGAAAAGATATCAGCACAGAAAGCCAAAGCTTCCAGTCATCTGCATGCAGTTTTACAAGTATGAAGTTTGATGCTCTGCTAATTATGTAAGAACACCCAAGAAAATAATACAAGCATAAGAAGTATTCTCTGAAACTGTTTGATGCAGACTAAATACTACAAATCAGAAATACTTCACTATATATGGTACCCTGAAGACAGAACTAGCTGGAATGGAGGTTTAAAACTGATGAGCAAAACCATCCAATCCATCCATCCATTTAAATCCCAATCCCACCACTCTGCCACTACGGCATATTTATCTGCAAAAATGGTCACTTACAGGCCCACTTCAGGCTTCTCCAGAAGTACTGAAACTAGTCAGGCACTCCTTTACATTTTTAAGGAAAGCACATAGAGCACTTCAATGTCACGTGCAACTGCCATACAGAACTGGAAAAGGACAGCACAAGGCAGTACTTCCAACTTAGAGATTACACCTGCTGTTAGCCAGTTATCACAGCAGATGACTTCCTGGGAAAGGGGAAGCTTCAAGTGCTATCAGCAAATTAATCATCATTAATGAGTCTGACACCATTAATTAAACAACTTCAGTTTACAGAACAAAGTCTGAAGAGCATCTCTATCTACAACACTGCCAATTGAGACATGCCTGCTTCACTCATGCCAGTAGAGCCAAGCAGCCATACCAGAAAAGTGATCCACATTAAAAACAAAATTAATAGAATCATAGAACACTTGCTTTAATTTTTACCCACCCCCCCCAAATTATTTTTTTTTAATATCTGAACAACATCTTCAATCAGGACTATGAGGAAGAGAGGTCACTGGATAAAAATACCCTTGATTTGTTTGGTTAAATCTGATATTCTGAGATAGACCACCACCAGAGTGGAGGAGCAAGTAAGCAATTCTCTTTGGTCTCCAGACAGGAGGTGAGGGGTGGAGGGCAAACCAGAACAAAAAACCCAACCAGAAGCAACTTCTTTTTGAAGAAGTTTAAAATGCTAAAAGGGGAGGCGTGGGGGGGAAGTCACTTTCTGCTAGAGACAGAGAGGTTTCCATGTGAATCATTATTCCAACATGAGAAAAACTGCTTTTTCTTTTGCATATCTGAAGCCTAGACAAAGCCCAGACAAACACCAGGCATTAGCCTAGCTCCTCAGAGAATGCTGTCTAGAACAATTTTATTGATTGAACCCGAAGATTGAATTAAGTACTCTAAATAGTCACCTTTAAAGAGTGATTTACTACCAGCAATATATTAGAGCATTTATTCAGTTGAAAGCTTTAGAACTTTGAATCTGGAAGTCTAATAAAAATGCTTACTTACCCCTTTTTCTCTATATATCCTCTGGAATGCTTTTAAACATTACATTAGTCCTTGACAATAGCTGTGAGACATTATACAAGTTAACCATTATACTATTACAATGACAAGGAGCTAATGATAAACACAACCAGGTTAAATAAATGAGGAAATACTGAAGTATATACCAACCTCTCTGAATTTTTGGAGGTATAATTTCAAAGGTTCAACATAGCTGTCAAACCCCAAGGTAGACATGGCAAAGAGAATATCCTCTCCATTGATGGTCTTTCTTTTCTCTTGGTGACACCTCTCACTTGCTTCTGATGTTATAAAGCTGATGAATTCACTTACACACTCTTGCACGCATTCCTTTGCATCCTTAGCAATCTAGTAAGGAAACAGTATCATAAAATGATTAATCAAGATGCAAGAAAATTTATTAAAAAAGCAAAATGCAAAGAATACACTAGATAATAAGGGAAACATCCCCAAACCTGATGGCTATACCCATTTAGGCAACACCTGCATGTGAGGGAACCACTGGATGTCATCACTGCCCTATGTAAGCAGAGCTGCAACATGAAGTTTTACTATTTCAAGCAGCATGGCCAACTCCCAGGGTCTCCCGAAGTTGTATCTGTACAAGCTTTTACACATAGATGCACCTCAGTATTGCTTACCTACACGTTGTCTTTAAACCTGTTCATTACAATGCCATAGCCCACTTCCATCTTCCCTTTAATAGGCCCACCAGTTCCAACCAACCCCTCTGCAGTATAACCCACAAATTCGGCAACAACAAGTATTTGTATCCTGACCAGACTCAAGGACTAGAATATATGCCTAGCAGCAAGCCTCTGTAATGCTTTAATATTCTGGTATAATTTTTCCAAATGAGAATTCAAATGAAGAAACACATATGGTCCTGGCAGGAATGAAATAAGTAAATTTGATTATGGTTTTCAGCTGGAAAAAATTAATTTACCCAACTTTAAATAACAGCAAGCATTACTCATGATTATTTGGGAAGCTGACAGGAGGCAACTGAAAGATTAGAATAATTAAGATTCTTATTCTTTACATGAGAAAAACCTGTTTGTATTTAAAAAAAAAAACGAAGCAGTAATCATATGTAGAATCTTCACTAGTTCTTCTGATATTTTCAGACACATAGGGTGAGATTTTCATAAGTATTTATCAGCCAGCAGCTTCCCTTGCAGTTTTTGACAAAACCCTCCTTGATTTTGAGAAAGCTCGACATCCCATATGCTAAATTCTTGAGAAAAATCTCATCTTGATCACTAAAAATTTATGACAATATGGACTGGGGAAGAGATTTTCACAGCAAAGATATAAATGGAACATGCAGATCTCCAGAGAGCCCTGAACACTAAGAAAGTACAAGCAGATGCAAGTAAATTATGTCTTGCTTCTATTTAGAGTGATCTCAAAAAAAAGAAAAAAAAAACCAAAAAACAGCTTTAGCTAGAGGAAATGTTACTGGGGCAGGAATTGTATTGGAATACAATAGGGAAACAGCAAGTAACAGGAGCCCTGCAAAGGTTTCAGATAAACAGGTAGAACAGTCAAACGCTTATACAATCACCAGCTCAACAGAATGGATTAAAAAGCCTATTCTTAGTAGTAGGAAATATAAAACAAGTCCTTCAGTATCTGGCCTTATGTTCTACATTGTATAAGGCAGACTTCTTAAGTCATTTTGGCATTTGGATATATGTGAAGATTTGGGTGATGAAAGACTAACCATTCTCTTTTCTTCAGGATGAGGACTGGTTTTTTTCCGGTTCACTGGAAAAGTGAACCGAATGGTTCATTTATTCCAAATGTTACGCATCTCAATAAATGCGGATTAAATTTCATAAGAGATAAGTACATAGAAAATACTCTTATTGATACAGGATGGTCACCAAGTCTGACCCATTATGACAATTTCAGAGAATACATCTTAGAAAAAGAAAGCCCTTGAAAGTGCTATCAAGAACACTGTTCTGATTAATTACTGCAGTTACTAAAAGCTTTCAGAAACCTAAGAAAAATGGACTTGGTCTCAATCACCTCCTGCTCAGATTTTTGTTTTCTTTTGTAAGGCTTTTCTCCAATAAACCAGGATCATTTGGAAAAATATACTGTTTTACCAGCTCAAGTTCAGGTAGAGGAAGGAATAAAATTCATTAATATGCTTTCTTTACAGACAAGGGTATTACCTTTCCTGTCTGAGGTATGGCATTTTTCATTATCCTTGCCACATTTGCAATTGGAAGATATATATCTTGTTCTCTGAAACTCTCTTTTGAGCCATTTGTATCTTCATGATCATTCATGCTGTCCTCTGGGTCTAATGAAATAAAGAAAAGTTAGCAGAAATTGTAGTTGACAGAGAGCAAGCAATAATTAAGTCAGTTTAAAATCTTACACTGAAGGATGAAGACCTTTGAAAGCACAGTGTATTAGCATTGTAGAAATAGTTTTAAAAATAGATGGAACACCACGGTACCTTCATGGTTGTTCCATATCATCTTTAGCACATTATGCACAGAAGTACACACGGCTGAACACCAAACATTCTCAATGTTATGTCTAAATAGAAATTGTTCCCTAGAACAGATTTTTTTTTTATCATGACCTCAAAGGACTGTGTCAACACTGAAAAATCCAACCCCCACTTTTAGACTGCAGAAAAATTGCTTTATACAGTGAGGCATAAAGAATACAATTGCAAATTCTTAGCTTGAGAGGATAGACTATAAGAACTAGAAGCATATATATATACACACACACAGAAATAGCAGTGTTTACTGTAACATTTCTTACCATCATGAGGCTGTATCACATAGTGACTGCCACCAATGTAATCTCCAGTAATTCCTAACTGAGAAGCATCCGTTGTGGAGCTATCACCATCCATCTACAAACAGAAGAAACCAACCTTTCAGGTATGTTTGTTACATCAATAAGTGCAGCTATTGCTTAAAAAACAGCACTCTAATCAACACAGAATTATAAGACTAATTAACACAAAGCATAAATATTTTGTCATTTGAGAACAGTATCCCCTCTCTCACTACAAAGCTTTACTGACAGTGGAAATGGTGAAACTGTTTTGTGATGCTTCCCAAAAATTCAGCCATGCACAGAAACATTTGGTTCATGCAATCTTCTGTTGTTCCTACGACAGTCACATGAACAGGTTCAGGCAAGTTTCTCCAAGCAACCCTAAAAACCTACATGAGCCCACTGTTCACTGAATGCTTTACCTACAATTATTACAGACTGCATCCTTCACTCACCATTGCCCTCCACTCAAAACACCTTTTGTCAAGCCCACTAACAACCTTATACTAGCCAGACCTGTATCCACATCCTCACTCTCCTCAGGCACTAGCCACTCCTAGACACCTTCTGAGTTGTGTTTTCCTTTGCTTTCTTTGGTCCCACCCTGCCCTGCTCCTCTGGGCATCCTCCAGTGCTCCTCTCACAATGTTCTGACATAATGGCCAATAAGTATTTTCTTTCAGGCTTTAGAGACAGGGTCAAAGTAATTTCAATGGCAGGAGAAAGAGGGAAGCCAAAATAGCCAGTACTTCCCTACCCCCTTAGAGACCTTTTGTGCTGGGAGGCACCAAACATGTTTCAGCTAGAGAGGTCCCAGAGAAGCTCACCTACCCCCTTTCAAATAGGACAAAACTAGCAAAACCAGCAGGGGTTTGCTGGTTAAGCATCAACGTTTTCTAGGATATCTACTTTGTGATGAAGTAGAGGTCTCCAAACGGGCTGTGGCTCAGAGGCTCCTCAGCAGCCTCGAAACACTTAGAGACATCACATGTATTGCACTTTCTCATTCTGAGGAGGTAAAAGACATGAAGATGCCTCCCACCGTCCTTGGAAGTTCACACCTCTTCAGTGAGTACATCCCATAGCATCAATCCAACACATCAATGCCTTTGGCATCCGCGTTTTGCCACCATACACAACACGCAGATAGATACACATGCATTCTTGTAAAAGCAAGTACTTCAGCCCATGTAATGTGCTACCATATGAAAGTCTCTTCTTTTACAAAAAGTAACAGATTTCACTAAACGCTATCAGCAGGTAGAAAACTTAGACCTATAAAAATCATGGCAGACAATATTTCCGCTTTCCAAGAGGCTATGTTAGCAGTGCTAATGCAAGCCTGAATTCAAGCCTCCAGCCTTTTAAAACTTTCGGACAATGCTCTTTTCTCCAGTCGCAGGTGTCTTGAGAATTAGTGTATTAAAAATAAACTTTTGCAGAACATTTAGCTCCCATGCTTTTTTTTTTTTCCACGAGGTGGCATCTTGGCAGTTGTGCAGTCATGTGTAAATGCTTCTTTTGGAGAAAAGGAATACTGCAAAAATGAGTGAGGCAGAAAGGGTCCCCAGCACATACAAACTCTTCCAACACTGGGGCATAAATACAAAGATATTCTTGAATGCATTTAGATACGCAGCACCAGATTCACCTTTGCCCTAAATTTTCTTGCCTAGGTTTACCACCAAACAATTCCACGAGCATATGCTTATCTACCTGTTGGCTAGCAAATCACCTCTTCCATTCCCATCCTACACTTCATACAGTTCTGTCTCTGGACCAGCCCTTCCCATCCTTCCCTCTTCCCACTCCAGCTGTTCCTGACAAGGGCAGCCTGCCTCATTGACAAGCTGCAATCACAGCCCCACGGGAGGCAGAACCCCACTCCATTCACTCCTTGACCTACACCAGCGGTGCAGGTACCCTGGTGTCTTGGTAAAGCAACCTCTGCCCAAAGGGTCACATGGTCACTGCCAGCCGGACCATGCAGCTCGCTTCTTTCCACAACCATTAGCCTCAAGAGCGAATGGGATCAAGAGAGAAAGGGAGGAAGGGAAAAACAATCTCATGCTATTTTTATACCTACACAGAAATATGAGCAATTTAACCTCTCTCTACTCTGCACTTTGTCTGTGGCCACAGGGTTGGGTTTTGCTTTCAAACCCTCAGGCAACACCCAGCGCTACACATCTGCGGCTACATGGCCACAGATGCACAAGTAACCTGAGCACGGCTCACATCATTCAGAGCAATACTACAACAGCTGGAGATAGCCCTAGGAGCTACTTAAGAGAAAGGAAAACCTCTTCCACATCTGCCACCTCTTCATCATACAAATTATTATGCACACAGTGCTTTTTTTAACATCACTTCTGGTCCCTTTTGATGGGTTTTTGTAAATCAGTTTCACTTCTTCCAGAGCAGCTCTGTCCAAAGGAAGGGGAATGTTTCACACATGTACCAATTTTCACATAAATTTGCTGCCTGCATTTTGCACTCTTTGTTGGGCGATCTAACTTTGATTTTCAATTTTCCAAAGGGTCTGCAGTTTGCTTACTCAGCTCACTGTAATGACAAGGATATCAAAATTCTGCATGTCAAGATCACCCAAACTGACATCACTCACCACTAAGAGTTGTATCTCTCTTTCCCTTTTGAAGCAATTAACATTCTGCAGCCTGATAAATCCCAAAATCAAGTTAGGATTTTCTGGCATTCTTGTTCTCAGTCTCAGCTGTCTGATCCCTACTAGAATTTAACTTGGAATTAGGGTCTCCTCCAACTGTGTTAAATTTACTCAGCCACAGTACTATTTTAAATGCCTTAAGGTTTCTTCCCCTCTCCTTTTTCAGTCTCCTATGGAACCTTATCTTCCAAAATGTTTTCTTTCTCCAGGATTCCAATATTCTTCTTCAATTTCTGCAGTGATGTGATAATTCACTGGTTTCTGCTCACCCATTCTGCAGGCTACCCCATCTGAATCTTTATTGCCAAGACCCAGCAGCATTACTGAAGAAACCGTCTTGCTTTCATTAGCCCAGCTCACCTTCAAAAGACATTTCCTGCTCCAATCCCTTTTAAACCTCTGCTGCATCTGTAGACAGTTTTGGCCATATTAGACTGATGTATCCTCAAGGTATTATATTTGCTTTTATCCTTTTCTGTGTGCACATTTCCAAGTCTGCCTACAGCATGTGTTATTTCACAATTAGTGAGAATTTGAGTGGAATCTTATTGTGAATTAAAAGAGTGATGAGCAAAATCAATAGGAAAAGGACTGCAAAAGAAAAAGGCAGATCTGTCTCAGATTAAAAAAAAAACAACAACCACCAGGCACTGACAGCTTGACATCAACTGAAATAAATTCTATGTGTATTACTTTAAGAAAGACTTTTAACTGCCAGAACAACCTTGGGACAGAGGATTACAGTGTAACACCTTTCTGCATAATGCTTAACATAACCCAGTCCTAATCCAGGATCACAGGATAATTCAGGTTAAAAGGGGCCTCGGGAGATCTCTCGTCCAACCCCTGCTCAAAGCAGGGCCAGATCCCAGCAGGCTCCTAAGGGCTTTATCCAGCCCTGAAGATCTTCACAGACAGAGCCTGCCCAACCATACTGCAAGCCCCCTTCCACAGCTTGGCTGGCCTCATGGTGAGGAAAGGAGTGGCATTTTATACACAACACTGCAATCCAAATAAGTTTTATTGAAGAACTTCAGTCAGATTTGTCATGTACACCTAGGCATCTGAACATAGCAACTGTAATTAATATACCACCTAGTCAGCCTACTAGTATTTCTTTGAGCCTGATGGATGACACAAACACGAGCCTGCTGAAAACTGTGGTGGCTGCCATCCTACTCATCTCATAATGACCAGTTACACATTCAAGTATTATGGTTTTAATTTTACATGTTCAAAACTCAAGCTAATCACCACATACCTGACTGTCAGCTCAGCTGGCCTGTAATACATACAACACAATGCTCAGAAAATGAGAAAACACTGCTCTTGATAGACTGTTACCAATTAATCCACCACTTTAAAAAAACAAAAAGCTCTGAAACAAACGAAACTTGCAGTGTCCCTGAAGCGAGTTAAAAAAATGCAGCAGTACAATGTAGCATAGAAACAACACCAAGCCTACAGTCACTGGGAAAGTGAAGGACAACAACTCTTAAGCTAGCGTATTTAGTAGGAAGAGCTACTTCTTTGGACAGAATTAGATGCTAAATTTCATGAACAGAGTCCTTGGAGATATAATCCTACAGGGTTCAGATGGGCAAGAAATCTCAGATTTTGCTTTAGCCCCTGGAGTACCTATTTGCAGATTCTATGTCCCACTCACACAGCAGCTTCAGCATGCAGACACTGCAATCTCTTTTAATCAAGACAGCATCTCCTACAAATGTGCAGCGACCGAATCACACGAGGAAGAGGTCTTCCAACACGTTGGTCTAGTAGCACGTACTACACATTTATCTGCAAGAAGCGCTTACTGCATGTTGTACGTTACCCTCAAGACTTTAGGGCTAGGAAAACACTCAAGCTCTCATCCATGCATATGCTGACTGAATCAAGATTGAGTGCTAAGCATACCAGAAGTGACAATAGGTTACTCTCTAAAGTGACCATGACACCATCTGATTTTTTACCAAAAATGAGGGAGAGAAACCAAATAAGCACAGAAAACTCAACTCAAATATTCCATAATAAGCATCCAAATTCAGAGCAGCAGCACAAAGTTATCTGGTAGTAACTTTTTGTTTGTTTGTGGGTTTGTTTGTTTGTTGTTGGTTTGGGATTTGTTTTGTTTGTGTATCTCTAATGAAAAAGAATAGTGCTAGGAATATACAAATTGATGGATCCAGGGAAATTAACCTGAGAAATATGTTAAAATAGAAACCTTTCAGATCAAGGGCATGAAAGAACTTTCAGCACTAAGATGCAAGTGAATGAACGTACAGCTTTACACGGACATCTGGTAGAAAAATTTCTGGAGGATGCTTAAAAAAAAAAGAAAGATGCTCCTGTCTGCTACCCACAACCCAGTCTGTTCCTAGAACACATCGATACTGAATTAATAAAACCTCAGTATCTCAAAGTAAATCTTGCAGCCTGTTTAATCTGAGGACCTCTCTTGAAAGAGCAGTATCAGTAGCCCAGCTAAATGACAACCAAAGAACATAACCCCAGACCTGCCAGCACTGAGGAGAGAAAGGGTCAGTAAAAAGGGCAGTAATAGAATCAAAGATTGTGTCTTCAGAGTGAGGAATTTATTTTGCAACGATTTGCAAAACTGATCTCCCAAGTGCAACTAAAAGCCTTGTGTGATTTAAGTACTTCACACATTATTTATCCATCCTATTTCCCAAAATTGCTACCCAGCAAGAGGGACTGCCGAAAATTCCATGCAATTATCTGAAGCACTTGGTACACTTTCCATACAGCTGTCCCTTCCACAGAAGGAAGGAGAGAAATATAGCTGTAGGTAGTAACATCAGTCATCGTAGATTAATTTTTCTACCACATCTTATTACGAGATGTAAAGCAGTAGGTAACAGTAGAAACAAAGTTTTATTTGGGCTTTCTGCACCCTCACTTGCTGTTCCTAAACACAAATAGAGAATTTTCTATTTGAAAAAAATAATGTCTATCTCCCTCAATGTTCAATGACTTCTGGAGAACCTAATTTCCCACTAAATTCTCACCTGGAAGTAAAGCAGTGTCTCCTGCAGCAAGAAACACTGACTGGTAAACGTACTCATGGGACATCATTCCAGCAGATGGAACATACTGAAGTTAAATAGCCACGTTAAAACCCCTCAGCACATGCCTAGAACACAGGGGCTGCACTGTCCCTCTCCATTTCAGACTCATCTCGGCGTGTCTTCAGTGTATTCCCCCACAGCAGAATAGCATTAGGAGAAGCAGACTGAGGCTGAGAGGACCTGACAGCACCACTAAGGCTCATTACCACCTAGGCTGTACCAGGCTCCTTCCTCCCCCTGGACCACAAGAAGAAAACCTTTCCTTTATGAAGTCTGAACAGGGCCTTTTCACCTTTCCAGTATTTTAAACTTTCTGGCTCATCTTACAAGCCCTGAAGTCACCAGCCACAAGCTTCCTCCACGTGGATCCAGCTGTGCTAGAGCATGTGGTGTCTCCTTACCAGGCTAACTGTTCACAAGCATGGTTAGCTGCAATTTACATGGGTGGACTAACAACGCATATATTTTTACATCAAGTAGGAGTAGATCAGTGATACAGAGCAGGCAGGAGAAACTTGAGTTTCCATGCCTTCTCTTTCTTGGCAGTAATATAAACCGGAGGTAAAAAACTGAGATGAACAGAGAAATTTTGTTGCTTTTGCAGAAGCTGGAAGAGGACAGCAGTGCTGAACAGGCTGCACCAGCACCTCCACCCTCCTGCAACTCTGAAAACCCCATATTACCTTTCCATGTTCAGTTTTTTATGCTTTTTTTTTTCTGTGAAGAACTGAAACTTAGCTGTTTAATTATTAAAACAGCAGTCCATAAATCCTGCCTTTCTTCTGCAAGTTGGATAACATCAGTAAGTTGGTTATGGTTTTCCTTCACTGTGGTAGTATATCAAATAGGTGAAGCTTATTGCTCTCAAGCAACAGGGCAAGTAAGAGTTATACAAAACTAGTCCAGACCAGGCCAGTATTTTCAGTCAGCATTATCAAATCTGCTGACACTTTATTTTATTCTACCAATGTTATTTACACATGTTGTTTAGTATTCGATATTTGGAGTCACATTTCTATTTTTTACAAGCATCCTGCCACTAAAACACCCATTTCCAAATACATGTTTTTCTAAAGTAATATTGCAAAAATCACTACTGAAGACAAGTTTCTTTCTAAGCAAAATTTTAAAGGTGAAGTGACATTAGAAATTTGCACCTGAAGCACTGAAGAGCCCTACAAGCCTTTTTAAAATGTTAAAAAGGCAATATAACTGACTTCAAGCTTCACAGTATTTAATGTTTCATATCTGCACAGTATCTTGAACAATCTTTTTCATCTCATTTCTGTACACTGCTGCCTTCATGCAATTATTATCACAAATAAGAGATAATCTATTAAACTTTGAACTGCCTTAATTATCAAATATTAAAGTCTAAGCAGTAATACCCAATATTCTTGATTTTTCAAATATAATTTCATAGCTGTAAATGTTATCAGCCAAGACCATATATATTACCCGCCCAATGCAAAGCACAGGCTGCTCATGCAGACCTCATAAATAATGATTCAGATTAAACTATCTTGGGTCCCCAAGAGACTTACAGATGGGTTCCCCCTTAACTTTGTAACTGTCATGCCACATAGTCATATAGGCTGCATAAGCAAAGACAGAAAGTAATCACTGAGCTTATTGTTTAGGAACATTATGCTAATGATTATGCATAAACACTGTTTCTTCATTCCTACAAGCCAATTAAACCCAGACTGCAAATAATGCCCAAAGCAGCTCCTTCCATTTTGCTTTTCACTATTTTGCCTGAGTGTCTTTTGAAAAAGCTGCAATTACTTTTTTTTTTTAATTGGCAATAACTTCCATCTACCAGCAACACAGGCAAAGGTTACTACACGCAAGACAGCCCATTCAAGGACTGAAATCCAGACTTCTACATCCCTCACTGCCTAGAAACAATCAGGCCATTATTATCAATTATTTTGCCTGCATAAAAATCAATCCAAGCATACTGGGGAGCTTTTACATGACAGTTCTTTGCAGAACAAATCCTCTTGGTTAAACCTCAAAGAAGTTGGTAAAGCTAAAAATTGACTGATTTTCTACTGCTGTAGTACCTAGGAAGGCTTCTTTAACCAGTGTATCTTAATAACTGCAGAAACATTACTAGAATACATCTGGGTGGGGGTAATTTTCCAATATGATTTTCTGTGAGTAACCTACCTAACTCTCTTTACAATCACCAACTACGTAATTTCTGGATGGAGCAGGGGCTGGCACACACAGGCATGGCCAACACCACTTGCCAAACACACAACAGTTGTGTAGACATTGCAAGTAGCAGAGTCCCATCACTCTCCTACCTGCCATGTGTGCTACAGGACAAGTCATCGATGCTGCTCGGCTGTGCCAACCGATCGATCTCACTTCCTGATTTCATGTCCTTCAATGATGCAACAGCAGCCAGCACAGGGGCATGAGGGGGAACCCCCTTAGCTACACGAATCTTCCTTGCACCTAGCTCGACTATGTTCGATGGAAACCTCATCTATCACGATCCCTTCTTTCCAGAAAGAGCAAACCAAAGCGTCCCCAGTTCAGCAACTTTATTGTTAATCACTTTTGCCGTGATTTCCGTGCAGAAGGTAGCAGCCTTTGGCTCCGGTGGGATGCAGAGGCTACACACCTGTACCTGCCTGCTGTGGGAGCCTTCTGCCGGAGCCCTGCTGCAGACCTCCGTTTGGTATTCCCCCGCCCCGGGGCGCCGTGCCTGGTCCGGGCTGCCCGCACAAACACCCGGCTGCTCTCACCACATCCCGGGGCCTGGCCCCACGCTCCCTACCGCTGCGAAACACCGCCAGACCTTCCAACCCCATCTCGGTCCCAACGACAGCGGCGGAGCTGGCTAGCTCTCTGCCCGCTGCACGGCTCCCGGCTCTGCGAGGGGCCGTAGGCGTGGTGGGGGCCCGGGCCCCCACTCCCGCGGCCGAAGGGAGGGGGCTCAGCGGGCTGCGGCGCCGGCCGGGGAAAAACAAAAGAGAGCGGAGCCCCCTCCGCCTGCGGGCGGCGAGGCACGGCTACCACAAAGCCGCCCCCCGCCCCGCCCGCCATGCCGCCGCGGAGGGGCTCCAGGGCAGACCGAACACGGCCAGCGGGCCGGAGAGAAACCGCCGTTAAAGGGTCACGGCGACCGCAAGACCGGCCCGGCGGAAAACCGTGTGCCCCGCGCCTGCCTCGCCGCGACCTCAGCGAGCGGTTAGGGGCGCCGGCAGCCTCGCTTGGCCCCACACCGGCGGCCGTACACCAACCGCGGGGCAGCCGCGCTCCCGTCCCCGCCTCCAACCCCCCCCCTCCTCCCCGCGCCTAGGCCACAAAATGGAGCCGGAGCGAGGGGGGCACCTCCTCGCACCCGGCCCCGCGGAGAAAAGGGAACCCCGACGGGGATAACCGCCGCGCCGGCTCTGCCCCGACCCCCGCGCTACGACCGCCTCCGCGCCCGCTCCGCCGCCTCCCCCGTCCGCTCCTTCGTCCGGGCGGCCCCCGAGCCTCCGGTCGCACAAAGAGGCGAGCGGGCGGTGGCGGGTCCCGGGGGCTGCCGCCCCCCACTTCCTGGTCCCCGCGGCGGCGGCGCGGCGGCAGCGCCGGAGCCCGGGGAGGGAGACGGACATTTCATTCGAGCCTGCAGTGGAACCGGTTACCAATCATTGGCCGGAGCCAGGCACAAACCTCCAGTGCGGCCCTGGTTGGCTCCCTCCGCAAATCGGCTGTTTGGTTGGACAGAAAATGGCTGCGAAGGAACCAGTCCCAGCGCGGAGCACCGCTTCCCGCAGCCCGGCTGCCCTCCCTCCGCGCCGCCTCCCCGACACGCGCGCCGGCTCTTCCCCCCAGCGCGCTCCCTCCCTCCCGACGGCTGTGGCGTGGCCCGGCCCTGCCAGCCAGCCAGCCTTTATGCGGACGGAGGTGCCGGGCTTGGGGGTGGTAGCGCTGACGCCTCCTCCGTGGACCGGCTGAGGTAAAACCGGCTGTTCCCCGCTAAAGGGTGTAGGGTTGTTACTGCTGCTGTTGCTGTAGTGAGGTTGCTGACCAGGTGCAGCTCTTTCCCTATGGTAAAGGACACTGTAGGAGGTGGGGAACGCGGGTGAGCGTGGCCCTCCAGGCTGTGCCCAGCTGGCTTTTCCGCTTCTCCCCCATCACTTAATCGGCAGTCAGTATAGCAGGCACTTTCTTTAGAGGATAAAGAGCTTCCTCAGCTCTGTTCAGAGCACGACTACACCTGTGTCTAGGCTCATCAGTTGAGAGGAAAACAAGTTACATCCCCCAGTGCCTTGTAGGACTTACAGACTGGCAAAATATGATGAATAAGAGGAGGTCAATGGAGGAGGATGGCCCATGGGACCTAGGCCCCAAGCAGCAACAGAACCTTGGGTGAGAGGATCTGCGATTCAGTGTTACCTCTTCCCTCTACAGAAATAAAATCTCACTACAAACCTGGAAGGATTATTTCCCCCTGGTGATAGAGGGCCTAAAGTGCATGTTTCCCTTCTGCTTTTAGGCTTTGTTCTGAAGAAATACAGGCTGCTGGGTGAAGATGAGAGTTGGACTGACTTCTCCACCAAGGTCTATAAACCTCCTTGATGAAGCATTTTTATGAAACACGTCGTAATCCACCAATCCCACCATTCACTAGAACTGGAGAGAGGGATTTTTCTTCTAGAAGGCAGCCAAAGACATTCCATACATCTGCCATCAACACGTGTACGTGCAATCTCCACAATGGAGGTAACAAGAATAATTTTGGTTTGTGCGGTTCTTAATAACCTATAGTCATTCTTCATTACTTGAGGATCTTAAGTATTTTACCTAAACTGGTACGAAAGTCCTGTTAGCATTCTTCTGGGTAATACCTGATAAATAACAGTACATTCCTCTCGTAGCTTTATTCTAGCATTTGGATTTAAACAAAGCAAAAATCAATAAGCCTTACACATTTCCACTTGGTTTCACATGACAACGTTAGTTTCATATGATTTGATATATCACAACAATTCAGATTCACTCAAAATGTCAGTGTATTTGGATTGTTCTGAGTTTAAACTGAGACATCAAATAAGACAAATTTTGCATGGCCTCAGGTTTTTACTGCAAATACTGCATACAGCCTGATTCTGCCTCCTGGGTACTGTGAGCAGTAATTAGATTTGGATTTGTTTTTTTTTTTTAAAATGCCCAGAAGATGTAAAATAATGCAGAATATTTGCTAACTTTGGGGCCTTAGGGAATGCAGTTTTCCCTTTTATTTTATTGCTTCTGTTCACTAAATATAATACCATGACAATCCGCTATTCATCTTGCTGTGCAGTTGTGAGGTCTTTGGATGGCTTCTTTCATCTTAGCCCAGAATTTCACAAGTGAGTAGAAAGATGAATTCTGACCAGTGTGCAGGTTCTTCAGGGCACAAGAGCAGACAATGTCCTTTTTTTTGAGCAGCTAGTCGATGTTTTGAATCTTCTAGAAAGCGTGGCCCTCAAATCTTTCTTTGCATGTTTTTCAAACTTGAAGCAAAAATACTATTTGTTTCTCCTGCAGCATTTTTGCTACTCTTTATCAGTGTTGTATTGATGGAAAAACTCCTTGTCCACTTATTTTACTTGATGCTTTTCTTGAGGATAGCATAGTGGGAACAAGCGTTAACTGGTGACAGAACAGCACTCAATGGTTAAACTTGTCAGCCAACTGAAGCCAGGGAGTCCAAGACAGCATTCCCCTTTACATCCATTTTATCTTGTGTTCCTCCACTGGTGACTTTTTCTGTCACACATTTATCATGCAGTCTTTAATTGGTTTATTATTTTTTCCATATTCCAAGTACATTCTTAGCCTCCATATATTTGCAGCACTGTGTGTTTCATTCATACCATATATCCTGAAAAGGTGTATTTCAACATGTCTGATCGGCATCTCCCCTCTTGACAATATCGGGGTGTCTTGTGTAAACTATGATAAATCATTTAGTTTGATGCTTGTTGCTTTGTTATCTAGCTGCTTATCAGTTACAGTCTCAAATTCCTCATAATATCATTTAAGTATTATATTCCCCATGTTCACATATGATTTCTCCAGTATGCAGTGTGTTCCTCACATTCTGTACCCAGTCAGTCTCCCCTTTTAGATCAACTTAAATTCTACCTATACAAGAAGAGGGGAAGAATGTTCAAGAGCAAGTGGAGTTAACTGCAGTAAGATGCAAGAGAGAGTTTCATGAGGTTGTGATCTCTTTGGTGAGTTTGTCACTTTGTCTCTGAAATTTTCAGTAAGGAAATCAAAATCTTCAGATATTTTCTGTTCTGCTTAGGAGGTGTTAGCTAAGAAAGCTGTCAAAGGTGAGCAAGTATGCTGCTTTAAACCAGAACAGATATATCAGCCTGCTCCAAAATGTGCCTTATTTGTTGTCTGGACTCTGTCATTTGGAAAAGTATGTGTCTGAAATAAGAAATTACAGTTTTTGTAGAAATAGCACTGGATGTAGTCGGGGGGGGGGGGGGGGGCGGTTCATCTAACATTCTCCAGAGTTCTCATTACTGTGAAATTCTGAGTGTAACAGACTGGAAATGGGTCTCTTGTCAACCTATGAACTCCATGGTGCTTCAGGAATTTATTTTCATTCTTCACAGTGATCTTTCTAACAGTTGGTATCTCTCTTTTTTTCTTTTTTTTTTTTTGTTTGGTTTTTGGTAGATTAGATTATTCTTACCTGTATTAGACAACCCTAAGGATACTTGGAGGCTGCTACTAAGTAGGCAATGCTAGTTGCATGTGGAAATACAGAACTTATATACGAGTAATTAATGAAGTCACAGTAGGATGAGATCAGATGAAATTAATTGAAGTTCTGGACATTTTTATTTTTCCAAGGATCGGTAGCTTTCAGTTGTGTTGAAAAATTCTTCAGCTATTCCAGTGTACCTTGCTTTTAGACGGTATTTCCCCTTTAACAGTAAAACTTCTGCTACACTTGGAAGGAACTAGGTGCTGGGGTGGCCTTCGTGCTGTGTGGTCCCACGTCTCTGAAAGAGTCGTGTATAGGCTCTGTACTGTGACAGTGCACCTGAGAAGCAGAGCTACAGTATTAGCCAGCAGAGCTACAGTATTAGCCAGCTTTGACATCCACACTATGAGGACCAAAGGATGTGTTTATTCACAGCACACTGGTGCCTAGCCAAACCAGAGGCCGGGCAGAGTGCGATTCTGAAATTACTACATCTCATTTGGGAAATATGGTCCAAAGAGCAAGGTCCAACCTTGGATTCAACTCCCAGCTCCACTGCATGCTTCTTGTATGACCTTGGGCACATTACTGTAAATCCAGGCCATCGCATTTCAATTGAGAGGTGCATAAATGTCGTTGAAAGTCTACATTTGAGTCATATTGTGCCTCAATTCCCCATCTGCTGAATCAGTAGCAATATTACTTTCCTACTTTGAGCTGAACTGTGAATGGCTTAGATGCTAGGAGAACAGGAGAGGTAAGAGTTCCACATATAACAAATGACATATCAAGCCATTTCCTGAAGGCTTCTTGAGACTGAGCTGCTGTGTGCCATCTCTAATAAGAGCTGAACTCATTTTTGAGCCTTTTCCTCACCACTGTTCAACTGCTTTTCTTTTACAAGATATACAGAAATGGAGTGTGTTGAGGCAGATTCCTCCAAGTAAATTTGATTAAAATTGGCCAACATTTCACAAGTTAGTGGGGGGAACTAAGACGGATAGACAGTACATGAATGCCTAAGCTTTGTTTCTTTAGATAAAAGAAAAATCAAGTTATTGTTTTCAACAGTGGAACAGTTAATCAAGCAAGTATATCCGAAGATACTACTCAAGGTTTAGATGTGGTAGTTAATCTTGGCCAGGTGGGGTTAAATGTGGCCAGCAGTAATCCCTTTGAAATGTACCTGGAGCAGAACTGACTTGTAATCAGGTAATTTATATGTTAAAACATGTCTAAAACATTAAGTATAAACATTCCACAAGAGCAACAAAGAACTTCAAAGTACACGTGCAAGATGATGGTCCAGACAGAACCATTTGAAGGATTAGAAGAGATTTTGGCAGAAGCCTCTAACTTGTCCATGAATAATACAGCAACAATTGGAGATGAAACTATAACAATATCTTCTCTGCTTTGTTTTCAACAAAGCAATGCCACAGTTTTGAGATGCAATCTGACATGAGACTTGCTTTGTAATTGTGCCATTACAGCCTCCTGGATAAAAATATTTGCACTGGGTTTGGCTCTTTTTGAAACACAGGGGAACAAAATCAATGCTCACTTTAAATATAAAAGGATTAAATCATTTAGCTTTTCAAACCTTATATTAAGTAATACAAAGTATAAAATGAAAAACTTAAGTAGCTTTAAAATTTTATCTTAACTTTGTAGCTACAATTATGACATATTTGCAAGTGTTATTCACATGGGTTTATTTGTTGTCACGGGTATTCAACTGCAATCTATGGTTATGTTTTGGATTTTCTCTAGTCATTGGCTCCATGTGGGACTGTAATTTCTCAGTACTGTAAGTATGGTGAAAGACGTCTTACTTAATTCTGTGCAGAAGGACAAGCAGCTGCTTAATGGCAATGCAGTGAAACCCTACATGTCCCATGGGTGGGGAAGCTGGGTTCCATTACAGCTCTGTTTTGGGTACTGCAGAGGGAGCACAGAAGGCAGGTCAAATGAAGATGGGAGTGAGGAAACATGGACTATTGCCCGTTCAGTTCTGATTACAGAGAATTCTGATTATGCCTGAGGCTGTCAGTGTTGACGTACTGGAGTTACAGAGCAGGGGCTCTGGGAGACTAAAGGACTAAGTTTTGCTCTGTAT